GGTTCAAACCCACCAGCCACTCCTCGGAAGGAAGGTTGGGCAATCCTACTGCCTCGGAAACCCAAGGAGGGGTCGCTATGAGTCGGGGCCGACTCGACGGCACATAACAACAACAACAACAACAGGACCCACACTAGAGATCTGATTCAGTAGGTCGGGGGTGGAGCTCAGGAATTTGTATTTTTAACCTTGTTGTTGTTGTTAGGTGCCATTGAGTTGGTTCCAACTCATAGTGACCCTATGTACAATAGAATGAAACACTGCCCAGGCCTATGCCATCCTCACAATTGTTGCCATACTTGAGCTCATTGTTGCAGCCACTGTGTCAATCCATCTCGTTGAGGGTCTTCCCCTTTTTCATTGACCCTCTGCTTTATTTTGCCAAGCATGATATCCTTCTCCAGCGATTGGTTCCTTCTGATAATATGACCAAGGTAAGAGATGAAATCTGGCCATTCTCACTTCTAAGGAGCATTATGGCTATACTTCCTCCAAGACAGATTTGTAAGTTCTTCAGCTGTCTATTCATTATTCTATGCCAGCACCATAATTCAAATGCATCAATTCTTCTGCAGTCTTCCTTATTCATTGTATTGTTTTCACATGCATAGGAGGCTATTGAAAATATGATGTCTTGGATCAGGTGCACCTAAGCAAGTTAAACCTCCCTATTTCCAGGGTAACTGTTTCTGTCTAGGAAAAAGCTGGTTTACTACTATGGTTCTGGCATAACATAGTAAAACCTGTGAAAGCTGGACTTCTATAAGGCAGAAATCTGTCAGAGAAGGAAAACTCAAACATTTCCCACTAAAACGAGTGATAGAACAGTGGCAAGACTGCACCCTGTCAGACCAGGTTTCCTGGTCTTATAGAGCCTGGTGGAACCATGGCCCCTAGCTGCCCTTCAGGTCTGGAATTAAACCCTATGGCCTCCAACCAAACAAAAGACAGGCATAGGAGTTGAACATTTACCTGAAGTAGATACACTCCTTGGAGAGAGCAATCATGGGAGAAAGAAGGTCTGTTTATGCACAGGGAGACAGCTCAGGGGGCAGGAGTGCATGGAAGGATGGACACGGAAGAGGTAACTATTGGGAGGAAGTGGGAGGGGAGCTGTTGCATTGGGGTAAGTTGTAGTCAATGTCATGAGACAAAGTGTATGTGAACTGCTGTGTGGAAAGTGGAAAGTGAATTTGCTCTGTAAATTGTCACCCAAATCACACACACACACAAAAGACTGCACCCTGTCAGTGGTGGAAAACTTGGAAGACCTGAAAAACAAGGCAGTCTGTAAAGTCCTGGCTGTGATGGGTTTCACTGTAATGAATACTATCCATTACTTTCGGAAGTTTGAACAATAAGTCACATGGTTACTCTGCCTATAATCTGTAATTCTTCAAGTAGTCCAAAGTAGTTATGAAGGTTACTTGCTTAGAATAATCAGAGCTACATCATTTTGCTTTTTGCTTAAGATCTAAAAGCCATGGAGTTGATTCTGACTCATAGTGATCCTCATTGGGTTTCCAAGGTAGAAAATCTTTATGGAAGAAGATTATCTCATCTTCCTTCCATGGAGTGGCTGGTGGATTTGAACCACTAACCTCCTGGTTAGTAGTCTAATGCCTTAGGCACTGCACCACCATAGCTCCTTAAGATAGCAATTCTGACATTGATTACCTACTAACTATGTGCATACTAATCACATATATAAAGCTGCATGTTGATTTATATTGATCAAATTTATTTGTGTACTCTGTTGCTTGTTAATGTATTGTTTACCCCTGTAATGGGAAAAAAATTTAGGTGAAGTGTAGACTAGGAGCACTAGAAAGATTGCAGCTAAATTTTGAGCATAATTTCCTTGCCAATGCCATAGAATTGATTCCCACTCAAGGTAATCCTATAGGGAAGACTAGAACTGCCATCTAGTGTTCCCAAGGCTGTAAATCTTTATGGAAGCCAACTGTCACATATTTATCTCACAGAGTGGCTGGTGGGTTTGAACCGCCAGCCTTCTGGTTAGCAGTCAAGTGTCTTAGGCACTATGCTACCAGTGCTCCTAGATAATCTCCTTGGCCATTACCAAACTAATTAAGCCCAGTCTGGAAATTTGGTAAGAGCAGCTGAAAAGATTGTCACAATGCTAAACATACTGCTTGAATACACAAATGTTAATGAATGCTTGTTGAATAAACACATTAATGAATTAATGTGTCTGTGCAGGGAATCCCTTATTACTATCTTGACTCACCCAGATCTTTTCTACCCTTAAAACTGCATTTAAATGCAACCTCATTTACATAGCCTATCCTGAATACTTTGCACAATTACGATATTTCTCTCTCTTTTTTTTTCTGACGTCATTTTTAAAAAAATTGTGATTTGGGTGAAAGTTGACAGGGCAAATTCATTTTCCATACAAGAGGTCATACACATTTTGTTTCATGGCATTAATTGCAATCCCCATAACATAGCAGCTCTCTTCCCACTTCCTTCCTATGGTTACTTTTTCCTTGTGTCCTTTGCTGTGCATTCCTGTCCTCTGAGATATCTCCCTGTGCAAACGCTGCCTTCTGATCTCCCATGGTTGATTGTTCTGAGTGTACTTGCCTAGTGTAGATGTTCACCTTATATACTATCTTGACATACGTTTTATTC